AGCCTGGGCAAGAAGAGCCAAACTCCGTCTCAAAAACAACAACAACAACAACAACAACAATATCGAAATAACTAAGATATCTTATTCCAACTTTCAGCTGACTTAGAAATTTCAGTCTTCAAGATCACTCAGATATTAAAATAAGACTACAACCCATGCTCATTTCCACTTCTCCAAAAAGTCTCTATGACTAAGATGGTGCAACTCAACAGTACTAATAGATTAAGGAAACCTTTTTTTTTTTTTTTGAGACAGAGTCTTACTCTGTCACTCAGGTTGGAGTGCAGTGGCGCAATCTCAGCTCACTAACAACCTCCGCCTCCCGAGTTCAAGCACTTCTGCCTCAGCATCCTGAGTAGCTGGGATTACAGGCACGCATCACCACGTCCAGCTAAGTTTTGTATTTTTAGTAGAGATGGGGTTTCACCATGTTGATCAGGCTGGTCTCGAACTACTGACCTGGTGATTTTGCCTCGGCCTCCCACAGGGCTGGGATTACAGGTGTGAGCCACCGCACCCGGCCCATATTCTTATGTAAATTAAACAATATTTTACTTAAATGTTTTTTCCCTACAGTTTTCTGTCCAAATTAAACTTACATAATTCATTTTGCATATTATCCCTTGTGCCACTTCTTTGTGTAAACTGTGTCCACATTGAATTTCTCTAAGTCTAATAATCATGCTCATTAACTCAGATTATAAAATGAAGTATGAAATTTGTTTGTTTGTTTTTCTTTTTGATGGAGTCTTGCTCTGTCGCCCAGGCTGGAGTACAGTGGCACCATCTCAGGTCACTGCAACCTCCGCCTCCAGGTTCAAGTGATTCTCCTGCCTCGGCCTCTCCAGTAGCTGGGTTTACAGGCGCCTGCCACCACGCCTGGCTAATTTTTGTATTTTTAGTAGAGACAGGGTTTCACCATGTTGGCCAGGCTGGTCTTGAACACCTGACCTCAAGTGATCCCCACCTGCCTTGGCCTCCCAAAGTGCTGAGATTACAGTTTTTTCTTTTAATTGAAGGAATTTGGAATATGAACACCAGCGCCAAATTTATGTGGATTATCGAGAAACTTTGATATAATGGTTTCTTTCATTAAGCAAAAAGCCCGCTAATTTGCACAGTCTGGTTGGCATTCAATAGTTCATTAATATGAATTATATAGCACAACATATATTTGTCAACATGTATTTAAGCCTTATTTACTCTTATTAATAAACTATGTAGTACAGAGCATGTTTCCAAAGTATAAAAAAGGAAGCATTAGATCAGCTGATTGTCCAAGTTGATTCACTTACAAAATTAGTGTGGTTTTAAAAAATTCAAGAGCTACAATGTAAAAACAAGTAAAATTATATACCTCCAATTAAGCCAAAGAAACCAAAATTAATCTCTTACCTCAAAAAGAATAAGTCAAAAAAACTTTTTAAATTCTAATAATGAAGGATGTAGAATGAAGATAAAGCTACAAAGAAATACGACCCACTGGAGGTAAGATGGCCTTGCCATTTTCACAGACTAATATTAAACCTAATTTTGACCCAGCCACAATTCAAATGCCAACAGAGTAACAGCAGAGTATTGTTTGTCCTAATGTTCAAATTTTTGCCAAATTATCTGTTAAGAGGTAAAATGTTTCCCTTAATTTTCCCTTTCAAGCTTCTCAACAAATTTAATATTTGTGGGCCACATCTTCATTTAACTGAACTCATACAAAGAGAAAACCACACAATAATATCAAACTGAAAATTATATTTTATGCAATGTCCATAGAAAAAAATCATCCAGATACCTATGAATGATGGGATAAGCAGGAAAATCCCTTGGCTCTTTTTAAGTGTTTATGATTATGCACAGCAGAAAAGCATTATGGAAGCTCACAAGCTAGCTGAAGTAAGAAAAAACATGACTTTCACAGCCTTCAGGAGGGGTATCTCAAGCACAATCCAATTCTAATCAGTTGCTTCAAAAAAAAATCCAGGCCAGGCTTGGTGGCTCACGCCTGTAACTCAACACATTGAAAGGCCAAGGTGGGAGGATCACTTGAGTCCAGGAGTTTGAGACCAGCCTGGGTAACCATCGCGAGATTCCATTTCTACAAAAAGTTTAAAAATTATCCGGGCGCGGTGGCCCGCGCCTGTAGTGCCTGCTACACGAGAGGCTGAGATGGGAGCATCTCTTGAGCCCAGGAGTGTGAGGCTGCAGTGAGCTATGATCGCACCACTGCACTCCAGCCCCAGCAACAGAGCAAGACCCTCCACCCTCCACACACCAAATCCGACTGTTGAAAATAATTCTACATAACTAACCTGTGGAAAAGGGTATATTAAAAGTACTAAAATTTTTCAGGCCGAGCGCAGTAGCTCACGCCTGTAATCCCAGCACTTTGGGAGGCCAAGACAGGCAGATCACCCAAGGTTGGGAGTTGAAGACCAGCCTTACCAACATGGAGAAACCTCGTCTCTACTAAAAGTACAAAATTAGCCAGGCATGGTGGCACATGCCTGTAATCCCAGCTACTCGGGAGGCTGAGGCAGGAGAATTGCTTGAACCCAGGAGGCGGAGGCTGCGGTGAGCCAAGATAGCGACATTACACTCCAGCCTGGGCAACAAGAGCAAAAACTCAGTCTCATAAAAAAAAAAAAAAAAAAAAAAAATTCATTTCTCACTAAAAATAAACACTTCGATACTCTCATATATTCTCAAAATACTTTGGTTTCCACCTTTGCACACTTTGTTTTTAGGTTCCCCTACTCCCCCAAATTTAAAGGTAACATCCAAATCTCCCAAAGTCTGCACCAGAACAAATACTGTGGTCAGTGGACCACATCCCTAGGAATTAAGTTCCTTAAGGGTTTACATTCAACAAGGTATAGACTCACATCTTGTATAACTTTGTATCCTAAAGAACACTTGGTACAACACCCTGGATATATCAGGAGCTATTAATATTTACTAACTCAAAATATAGTCCTTCATCACTTTGCAGTTCTGTTCTGTGCTCCTGAAACAAAACTGCATAAACTCTGCAAAACTCAAGGGACCTAAATGTGACAGAAACTTCACAGAATTCCTTATTATTTTATAGTTTACAGTCTTGTAGCCTTGCCCCTATTACCAGATGTAATGCTTTTTACTGACACTAGTATAGTGGGGTAGGAACAGATCTAGACAAAAGTGGACATCAGAACCTGTCAAAGGGGTTTAAAATTTATATTTTACATACCTATCCTTCATTAGTGTTTTATGTAACATTAATGTTCTAAAGTCAGTTATCTGTAGCAACAACTTAAGAGTTTTTCAATCTAATTCCCAGGAACATAAATGAAAACTGGTGCCAATAAAAAAACAAGCAAGCAAGTAAGCAAGCAGAAACGCTGCCTTGAATTCTGACAAAAGGTAAGGATAGTTTACACCAACGCAATGAAAAATAAGCCTTTGTGTAGTCTATAGGAGTTTTTGAAATTGTTTCACTAAAGTCTTTAAAAGTGCCGGGCGCGGTGGCTCACGCCTGTAATCCCAGCACTTTGGGAGGCCGAGGTGGGACGATCACTTGAGGTCAGGAGTTTGAGACCAGCCTGGCCAACATGGTGGAACCCCGTCTCTACTAAAAATACAAAAATTAGCCGGGCAAGGTGGCGCGCGCCTGTAATCCGGATTCAGCTACTCAGGAAGCTGAAGCAAGAGAATAGCTTGAACCTGGGAGGCGGAGGTTGCAGTGAGCCGAGATCACGCCACTGCACTCCAGCCTGGGCGACAGAGCAAGACTCCATCTCAAAAAAAAAAAAAAAAAAAAAAAATCTTTAGAAGTCAAAGCAAACTGGTAAACCATTAGCGAAATCACAAGCTACCATGAAAAGATACACAAAAGTATCTGGCAACCAAAGTCTAGAGGTGGTTCCAGAGTGTGAAAGGTTTTCTGATTGCTAATAAACTCCATTATGCACCCAAGATATCTTCACTTAGCTGTGTCATTTCTAAAAAGGCAACAGAGCCCATAAGTTTCAGTGAGCCAGTCCTGGCAAACTCAAATTATGAAAAAATATACCCTCTGCTTAAAGATTAACTATAAACCTACCCTGGGACCACCTTGCTTCAGTTAAGTTTAAAATGGTGCCTAAATTGAAAGGAAAGCCTGTAGCATAGAGGAAAAAAAAAAATCAAATGGAAAAGTAAATGTAAAAGTTTCTATTTCCAATGAACTGCGTCTCAGAAATCTTCCAGGCGATAAAGACTCGGAAGAACAGAGGGATCTAGCCCCATTCGCATTCTCAGAGGCGTGCGCACTGCGCGGAAAGGATGAATGAATGGAAGACCGGCGCGTGTGAAATGCAGCAGGTCCGGCCGGCAAGCCGACCGGCTACAGCGATCTGTAGGCCTCGCTCCTCCCCCTTCCCTCCTCCATGACAGCCCAGTCCCAAGCATGGAGGGGCGAGGACAATGTGATACCCCTTCTCACCACCACCATCCCTCATTCTACTTGGAGAGCTTCACCGTGACACTCGAGTGTTCTTTCCCACCCTAACCTTTCTCGCCTCCCCTGGCGCAAACACCGGCAACACTCCGGCGCGTTGGATTAACAGGCGCTCGCCCCTCTCAACTCCTCTAAGCGAGGTCGAAGCTCCTCCGCGCGTGCCGCGGTACCACTCCCGCCTAACCCACCCTCCAGCAACACTCGCCCACCAGCTTCACAGTCCACCGGTCTAAGGAAGACGTGCGCGCGCCCCGCACCCGAGCCCCGGGGCTGGGGCTCTGGAGGGAGAGAAAGACTGGCCCAGGGCTCCCTCCTCCATCTCACTCCAGGCCGGCTCGCCGCCCACCCTGCCTGCGGATCCCAGTGCTCGCTGGGAGCCGGCCCCGCGCCTTCCCATCACGAAGACACCATCCCCACACAACTAGCCCAGAACCCCAGCTACCCTCCACCCTGTAGACACCTCGCGGCTCCGCAGGAGGCGCCACGCCGCCCCTCCCCCACACCGCTCCCCCAGTTCTCGGGCCCCCACCAGAAAGTGTGCGCTACACGCCGCCTCGGCCAGCCTCCGGGACGTCCCCACTTGTCCGCGGGAGGTCAGGTCCAACATGAGGGGGAGGGGGCGGCAAGGGGTAGAGTGCGCGCCGGGAACGCAGTCCCGCGGAGTCCCCCAGTTAGAAGGGGGACGGAGCGCGGGGACCCGTGGGGGTGGGGGCCAAAGGCAATACTCACCGGTTCGACAGTCGCCATCTTAGATCGATCTGATCGCACAACCGCTCCAGAAGGGGGGGTAAGAGGAAAAAAATGAGATTCAAACCGGATTGGCCAGCTACTGACCACGTGATGAACGTGTCCGTTTGGCCCTGGCGGCGCCTGCGCAAGACTGCGGCTGCGTGAGTAACGAGAGGCTTCTGGGAAGTGGAGTCTCTCCCCCACCTTTTTTTTTTTTTTTAAGGCAAATTTTTTTTAAAAAGGACCGGTCACGTGGCTGATGGGTAGGGTGCGCGGTTCTCAACGCGGCGGACGCTCGCTTGCTGGAGGGTGGTTTCAGTCCTCTGCTCTTCCTCCTGGATAGCTGCGGTCACACTTACTGCCAGGCATGCCTACTGTGCCCTTTGTCGCCCTGTCCTCCCATCTTCCCCGGAAGGTTGGGAACTGCAGGCTCAGCACACACAATAAGGCTTCATTTGCTTAGTTGAGGTCCCAGGACAAGTTGCCTGTGTGTTTATTTAGTTTTCTTTTGACCTCCCACCATTTTCTCTTAGTTTCAAAAAGAGGCGGCGATGCAGAGTCCTTTAGGCAATCAACCCTCCCACGTCTCCCGACTCCGCTAATGCTGGTGGTCATTCGTTGCCATTTCTGCGAAAGGGGACGGACGGAACCGCTCGCAGTACCCGCTTGCCACCGGCTGGATGAGGGGGAGGGGACGACAGTTTTTACTGTCCCAAATCCTGAGATTAAGACCTCAGGGCTAAATCTTGGGTGGCAGTAAAAATTACTTGGAAGTTCTGCGCAACCGTTCCAATATTCTGCTTTAACGTGCACAGAAATAGCCTAAGTCCAGGTGCCAGCCAGGGAAGCCACTCCGGGCCCCGCTGACTAAGCCCTGGACTGATAGTCTGGAGTCGTTAGGCCGGGTCAGCTATGCCTCTTGACATTGACTCATTCTCCTTAGGCGAGTGACTTAGTGGTTCGGCGCCTCAGCTTTTTTATTTATGAAGCAAAGGTGATGATACACTTACCTCACAAGGGTGTACTTTGTAATGACTGTAACCGGCTTTGAAAATGCACTGGACTCTAGAAATGATTCATAATAAGCAACCGCGTGCCTTCCTAAAGATCAGCTGCTGCTTCTTTGTTGTTGTTGTTGTTGTTGTTTTAGCAAAGTTTAAATTTTTTTCTTATGTTTACTTTGATTATGATGTACACCAGTGTGGTTTTAAATGATCAGGACCTTTTTTTTTTCGTTTACAACTGCAGCTGCCATCAACAGAGGATTTAATATTCATGAAATTATTGTTATGCTCACAACAGTCACTGGCAATCAGAAATTTGTCCCCACACTGACATCCTACATTTCCTTTCCCTCTAAGATACTGTGCTATCATTTCTCAAGACCATGTTTTTGCACAGTTTGGCTACTAATACAACAAATAGAGATGAAGAAATCTAGCAGATTCCCAAGGTTCTAATGAAGAAGACAATGTCTCATTATTTCCCATGCTTTTAAATAATGTTGACACCAGGAAAAGGAGTATATGCAGGCTGCCTGTGCCTGTCTGCTTATAGTGTTACTGAGGTCCAGAGCTGTGTCATACCTATTATTGAGTACATAATGGATTCTTGAGTTGACTAACACATAATTGAGGCTGTATAAGAACTCAAAGTCATTGCCTGTTCGTATGTTTTGGTTTACCTGAATATCAGAAGTAATTAATGAAAACTTTTGTCCAGTGGGCTTAGCTCTACTAGGTTTTAAAGTAGATAGAATTAACAGGCCAGGCGTAGTGGCTCACGCCTGTAATCCCAGCACTTTGGGGGGCCGAGGCAAGAGGATCACCTGAGGAGTTCGAGACCAGCCTGCCCAACATGGTGAAACCCTGTCTCTACTAAAAATACAAAAATCAGTCAGGCATGGTGGCACATGCCTGTAATCTCAGCTACTCAGGAGGCTGAGGCAGGAGAATCACTTGAACCTGGGAGATGGAGGTTGCAGTGAGCTGAGATCCTGCCACTGCACTCCAGCCTAGGTGATACAGCGAGACTCCATCTCCAAAAGAAATATAATAATAATAAACAAATAAGTGGATTTCTACTTACAGAGACTATCTATTGCTACTTAGACTATCCAAAACAATGCCGTTGATCGCATTGTTATCTTCTGCTGGTTAAAAGTGGTGTCAGGTTACCTTCTTTGAAGAGAAAAAGACAGCATAGGTGTCCTATTTTCTTCTTCCCTTCCTTTTCCCTCCCCTCCCCTCTCCTCCCTCTCCCCCTTCCCTCCCCTCCCGCTCCCTCCTTCCCTCTCTCCCTCCTTTCCTCCTTCCTTCCTTCCTTCTTTTCTTTCTTTCTTTCTTTCTTTCTTTCTCTTTCTTTCTTTCTTTCTCTCTCTCTTTCTCTCTTTCTTTCTTTCTTTCTTTCTTTCTTTCTTTCTTTCTTTCTTTCTTTCTTTCTTTCTTCTTTTCTTTCTTTTTCTTTCTTTCTTTCTTTCTTTCTGGGTGTTGCTCTGTTACCCAGGCTGGACTGCAGCCTTGACCTTCTGGATTCAAGGGATCCTCCCACCTTAGCTTCCCAAATAGCTAGGCATGGGCCACCATGGCTAGCTAATTTTTTTATTTTTTTACAGAGACAGGGGAGTCTAGCTATGTTCCCCAGGCTGGTCACAAACTCCTGGGCTCAAGCGGTCCCCCTACCTGGGCCTCCCAAAGTGCTGGGATTGCAGGCATGAGCCACCATTCCTGGCCAGATGTCCTATTTTCACGAAGCTGTTATATAACAGAAGAAAATCAATGAGATTAGCAAGGAAATACCTATAGGATTGAAAGCTAGTGATGTTCTTAAAACTTTTTTTAAACAACAGTTTCCATTTTTATTAAGTTTTCTGTTGACCAAAAAACTCCCTCTTGTCAATCAAGACTCATACTTTTACAATACTTATGGATGCTCTATTCTTTAGGATTTAGTTTATTTCCATTTTTGAATAGTTTTTAACAATTTTTCTTTATTTTTTTCAAGCACAGAGTTTCAGGAAAATCTCCATTTTTGTATATACTTTGTTGCATGTGTTTTATGGCCATTAATGTGTCTTTGCCTATTTGAGATTCTACCATGTCAAAGATTTAACGATTAGGTTTTTATATATGCATGTATGTGGTTGTTTTGTTTTGTTTTTGCCAATCTTAAATATACAGAGCTGAAATTGTATGTTTTATTTCTCTATTTATTCTCCATTATTCTTTATTGCTCTTCAAAGGACTTGTAATTCCAAGTTCATTTACAAAACTGACCAGAAACCATCCAATAAGCACTAAGTTAGTAATGGGAACTATGTAACCAGTGGAGGATATTCAAAGAACACAGGAAGTACAGGCACTTCCTTCCCTGACTGTAAAATCTGGTTGGTGTACTAAGTCATAGAATTATAAATAGTTCAGTACCCATATAAAGAAGTGTGACTAAGAACCAAAAGGATGCAGTTAGCAAGCACCACAGCCAGCACATATTCACATAATGAATGGGAGAGTCACATACTTCCTTCCCTCATTTCATCCAGGCCTCTGTTCCAATGTGATCTCCTGAAGGAGGACTTCCTTGATTACCCTATCTAAATTACTGTTTCCATTACTCTTTATCCCCTTACTCTGCTTTGGTTTTCTTTAGGCCAGTTCATAACCCTAACTCTAAACTTGCTGTTAAACATTATTTAATTAGTTGTTGATTGCCTCTACTACTAAAATATTAGCTCATTGATGATTTGTAGATAGATTGCGATAAAATATTTGGGGAAAACTCAAACGTAATTTTTTTCTTTTCCCCTGAGATGGAGTCTCACTCTGTTGCCCAGGCTGGAGTGCAGTGGCACGATCTTGGCTCACTGCAACCTCTGCCTCCTGAGTTCAAGCCATCCTCCTGCCTCAGCCTCCCAAATAGCTGGGACTACAGGTGTGTGCCACCACACCTGGCTAGCTTTTGTATTTTTAGTAGAGACAGGGTTTCACTATGTTGGCCAGGCTGGTCTCGAACTCCTGACCTCAGGTGTTCTGCCTGCCTCGGCCTCCCAAAGTGCTGGGATTACAGGCGTGAGCTACCAGGCACCTGGCCAAATGTAATTTTTTTTAAAGATTAGTCTCAGAACTAATAATGGAACTAGTAGGAAAATTACTATATGCTAGTTGCTGTGTTAAGTCATTTACATGCACTTATAGTACCTCATTGTATCTTCAAAACAATATTTTGAGGTAGATATACTTATTTTTCAGATAAGGAAACTGAAGCTTAAAAAACTTAAATAACTTTCACAAAAACACAATTCTATCATTGGAGCTCTTAACCACTATATATTATTAACTAGATGGTAATTGGACCCTATAATAAGAAAGATCATTGAAACAGAAAGAAATAATCTGCAAAGTATGTGAAAAATTTATGTAGGTAGTATATTGAGCCAACAACAAGATACTTATCAAAAGGAATTTATCTTATAAAACTGAAATTCTGAAAAAATAAAATATATGGGATAAATCGACAGTCTTTAAAAATAACTCAAGGCTGGGTATGGTGTCTTATACCTGTAATGCTAGCACTTTGGGAGGCCGAGGCTGGAAGATAACTTGAAGCCAGGAGTTCAGGATGAGCCTGGGCAACATGGTGAGATATCGTCTCTACAAAAAATAAAAAGCAATTAGCCAGGCATGGTGGCACATGTCTATAGTCCTAGTTACCTGGGAGGCTGAGATGGGAGGATTGTGCCATCCCAGGAGATCAAAGCTGCAATGAACTATGATCGTGCCACTGCACTCCACCCTGGGTAAGAAAGCAGGACCGTGTCTCAAACAAAGAAATATGTTAATAGGTGGGAGTTGACTGCTTGACATCTATAAAAGAACAACCTGGAATGACAATATTTGGTAATCCATCTCCAGCATTGTCCCAGGGACAGAGTGCCTTGGCACAAAAATATGAATCTCTGGTCCATTGGACTTTGTTGGGATTGGTTGCTTGAGG